TAATTCAGCAAGGACATAGAAAGATTTTTTTATTATTTTTTTCTTTAGCAGTAGAAAAATTGTAGCCTGGGGGCAAGTTGCTTTGACAGATTGAGGTTATATGGTTGAAGCTGACCTATGCAGCTTCCTTCCCCTTCCCCCTCCTGGCAGGCAGGATGAAGCACGTATGATTGGAAGTGGCTATCCTTATTTTGCTCTTTATCTGATGGAAGGCCACCACGATAGTCAAGAAGGACTTGTTATAGATTTTGCTTTTCCTGTGAGGGATGCTTGAAAGCTCAGTGAATAACCTGTAGAAATAAAAAATAAGATATTTTGGCTGTGTGGGAGGGAAGCATTTAATCACAGCGAAGAACAGGGGATTAAATAAGCAGTTCTTGGCAGATTTTAGAGACCAGTAGTGGGAAGTAAGAAGGGTGTATCTAATAGGAGTGTAGGAAAGAATAAATGGAAATTAACTGAAGAGAGATAATAGCATCATGTTTAGAACCTGTCACTTTATCAGAATTATGTTGACTGGTTATTAGCAAAAGAGAAGGAATTGGTTTTTTAGAGGAAGAAGGGTTTCATTTCCCCTTCATTAGCTGAGGAACCTGCTGACAGGAATTAAGGTGGAATATTACTAAATGGGGGCTTCAGCCACTCCCTCATGTCTGCAAGAAAGGGTTATTTTTAACCCAGATCTGCTCAGTGACTGCATTTGCAGCATGGCCCTGGAAAAAGAAAAAAAAAAAAGGAAAAAAAAAGGGAAAAAAACCCCACAACTCTTCTGGCAACACTGAGGCTGCTTTGTGCTGCTATGTGAGAATGGGACAGAGAGGTCTGGGGTGGGAATCCTGTAGGGCAACAGTGCCCCTGACGCTTGTGTCATGAAAATATGCCTCAAGTTAACTATTGTCCTCTGACCTCAATCCATGCTGAAACAGGGGCTTTGCATAATCATTGAAGGAGACGGCTCCTGCTCCAAAAGATGTTATGTTTTGAATTGCCAAAATAGACAAAGGAGACATTGTCAGCCCTTCACACATGGGAAACAGAGGCAGAGAGAGATTTGTCTGGGGCACATAGGCTAATTTTGACAGGAGGGGTACTTATATTCAAGTTTCCTTAATTCATTTGTTTACTACAACTGCAAGATTGCCCTTCCTTTCTAATACTGGATTTTTTTTCTCCTTGAAACTTCAGTTCTAATACAGCGTTGTTTATCAAAAACTTGATTTCATTTTGCTCTGTTTAATAGATACACTAGTGATTCTTTCCTCAGACAAAACTGTGCAGCTTGCATGCAGATCCAAGTTGCAACACTGAAGTTGCAAATACTCCAGCAAGCTTCAGGTGGATTTTCACATTGGGACCACCAGGGACAATAATGGAAGGAAAAGGCAGAGACATGACTTCTGCTTTTCTTTGTCCTCCTGAGGATCACAACCCCACGGATATGTAGAAGGGGAGCCTGCAAGAGTAGTAATGCTGTTCTGCCCAGCTTCACAGGGGAAGAAAAAGAAAATAAATATCTTACTAACTAGAATGTCCATTTTTCTTGCTCAAACTTGTTAACTCCAGGAAGGCCAGTGAGACTTGGCATTGCATGACCAAACTGGAGCGGTTTGGGTTTTTTATGAGGCAGTATTGAGTAGAACCATCTGGGCTAGGAGAAGACCACACTTCTGAAATGAGCCTTTAGGAATATTTAAATTAAGTAGCTGTCTGGGGCACCATGCTGAAAGGAAGGGCACTCACAGCTGCATGTATTTTATGGGTATATTTTATCTCTGATGACAAAAGAGAACTTACTAGTCATGTGGTTCCTCATAAATTTCAAGCCACTGCTGACAAGTGGCACTGCCTGTGTTCTCAACCACACTGGCACAAAGTTCCCCCACCTTTCTTGCTCACAATGTTAATAACGATGCTGCTAATGGATGATGCTTTAGAGAGATATCTAACTTTTCTCTGAACTTAAAGGCAATCCCCAAGTTACTATTTAAGAATGGAAACTTCAATATCTTAGGTACCTTGGGTGAATACTTCCATGGTCATTCATCACATATCAAAGTGGGTCATCTCTCTGGCTTCTGAGGCTCCAGTCTCCCTAAAGGTGTGCTGTTCACTTTCCTGAGAGCTGAGTGAATCTGCATCTCCTAAATCAATATCCTTCTAGAAAGCTAAATACAGGTTTGGGAGCATAACTTTCAGTATGTCAATGCTGCATCTCAACTTAGGCGATTTAAACTATTTTTTTGCATTGCAGTCTCTCTTTTCTTTTGTTTTGCTTTTAATTTATGCTCTTTTGGGCAACCTCAAGGGGCCTGGTTCTGCTGCCTGTATTCCATTTTCCAAAGTTGTATCTTGTTTCCATGTTAGGACCAGCTACCCTCCTTCAAGCATTTTTCTATGTGACGGACCTGGAAAGGGGCACATCAAATTCAGTATCATTTCAAAAAATGTAACCTATTTTCCTATGCTTTCTGTTCACTGAGATGAATCTTAAAAGAGACATCGCTCATTTTAAAATATTTACCAGTGTATTGCCTCAACTAAGATAACAGCTCTTATAGTGCAGGTATGAAGCAAACACTTGCTCCTTAGCCTTTTTTCACTCCATGTCCTGTTAAAGCTGTCTCTGTTTCAATGGAGTCTAGAAGCTGTGCATGATATTTATTAATCTGATTTACTAATAGACTCCTAAAGTTTAAACAGAGAGAGAGAGAGAGCAGACAAACTGGACTCAGGCTTACAAGAATGAGATTTATGCTAGCTCTGTCACAGACACCCATTTTGACTTTATGCACATTATTTAATATTAGTGGTTCTCCTATCTACAAAATGCAGATACTAACTCTTCTTTTTTTCCCTATCCATACTTTTATAGACTGCAAGGTTGGACAGCAATCAGCTCCTCTTGTGTCTTTGGATACCTCACAAATGAGTCCCCGATCTTAGGTGAAACTTCTAGTTGCTTCTGTAAGCCACATAATAATAATTGCCTTCAACCTGCTTCAGGAAAAAATGCAGCCTTTGGATTACATTGGTGTAAATAAAAAGTCCACTACAGTTCACAAGGCAAAAAATGCTGGTAGTGTTTAGCATCAATGTCTTTTGCTTGAACATCTGGCATTCATCATTTCTTTCCTTTCCCTTCCACTGTCATATTTTATCCCCATCTGTTAGAGGTTTCTTAGCATTGTCTACATAAATCATAGCTGCATCTCAGTCTGGGTAGTTGAATCATTACAGGCTGCAATGTAAATGAAGGAAAAAGAGGTAAATTTAAGGGAAGTGTTTCTCTTATGCACACTGTTCCCCTTCTTTATTCCCTCTCCCTGTACATAGACAGTACTAGACAGTATTACTAGATGGCGTGATACCCCTGCTATGAAGAGAGATGGAAAAGTTTCCAAAAATAGCAAATGTTTTTGCCAGCCCTAGTTCTGAAGGCAGAAGAGGAGTTGAAGCCTGAGTGGACACCCATTGCCATTGTTGGAAAGACCAAAATTTACTGCTTTGGAACAGCCCTTCAGCAAGTTAATAATAATTTGTGAAAGCAAACATTCCTTAAAATTGGACTTCCCGGGCAATGTCTTTTGATGTATTTTCTAAAATTAAATTACCCTTATTGCAGTAATTTAGGTTACCATTAGGAAGAAAAATATTAAAGGTGCTAGGAAAATATGGATGTGTTAATAATAGCCAAAGCAGAATTTTTTTACACACACCCTCCCCCCCAAAAAAAACCTTTGTGGTGCCCTCATAATGGCCATCAAATTCAGCTCTCAAGCCATTCTGGCAGGGCAGCGAGCCATAGCAGCATTCCAAAGATGGATTTCTGGTGGGGAAATAAATCCATGCCCAGACCATATGACGTATTTCCAGTAGCATGTGTCGTTACTCTGCCAGAGCCAGGTGCACCCGTTTGTGCAGTGTCACACAGCCCCGTGCACTGGGAGCACACGTGGATTTCACTCCCTGCCAGCTTTGGCAACTAGCGAAGGTATTTCCTTGTTCTAGAAACACTCGGAGGCACCATAGTCCCAAGCTACTTGAAGCTGGAGAGAAAAAAAGGCCCTTTTCCCTCTGCCTGGTGAGAGTCATTGCAGACTGCTGTTGCTATCAATCCCAGAACTTCATGCAGGCTCAAGGTGGGCTGAAGCTGGAGGGTCTCTGTACAAGACAGCTCTCATGTTTTCAGTTCAAGGAACAGCTTGTATTCTTGGGGACTTCATTATACTTGGAACAGCAAGAATTCCCCATGTCATTATGTGTGCTCCTCCTGCTTGTCTTGCTCTTACACCCTTTTGAGTCTCATGTATCTAAAGTGTGTCTTGAGTTTGTTCGAATCAATAGCAGATTAGCTGAAATGAGAATAAACTATTGCTACCATTGCTGGTTGTCAACTCATGCCTTCTTTTGCTACAAAGCCTACTGCATTCCTGATTTCCCATCATTTTTCACTTATGTTCCTATGGTGTTAACCTGCTGCTTGGTGCAGACTCCCACATTTCAGCTCGGCAGTCAGATCGATCAAGCAGTAGGTGTCCTGGCCAGCATCTGCATGAAGTGAAAACGATAGGCCCAGCTCATAAACAGAGCAATTGCTGGGCTGTCCTGCAGAGCAAGTTCTGGCTGATTCAGAGGCTGCACGGTCATGTGAAAGGCCAGGCAGTCCCTGAAGTCACAGTTGCTCTCTGAGGTTGGTAGATCAGTTCAATCCTGATGATTTGTTCTGGCATTGCAGTCTGTGGCTGGAAATGGGTGTCCTGGTGAAAGCGTTACTACCTGGCAAGACTAAAATGGTGGGCAATGAGAAAGAGAAACATGGGCCTAATGTTGCACAAAGTACATCTCATGAGATGTTGCAAGAAGAAAATAATCCAGGAGTACAGTGCAATGGATGCTGTGATGTTGATTTGTCTTTTTGATATCTGCACTAGATCTCAGCTTGCCAAGCATCTTTCTTGTTACTAGCAAAATATTTATTTTATTTTCTCTTATTCTTGTAGAAAATTTTACTACATCACACTGCTGAGAGACCCCGTATCTCGTTACCTCAGCGAATGGCGTCACGTCCAACGAGGAGCTACTTGGAAGACCTCCTTGCATATGTGTGATGGCAGGACACCAACTCCTGAAGAGCTGCCGTCATGCTATGAAGGCACAGACTGGTCAGGCTGCACGCTGCAGGAGTTCATGGATTGCCCATATAATTTGGCCAACAACCGCCAAGTCAGGATGTTGGCTGACTTGAGCTTAGTGGGCTGCTATAACATGTCTTTTATCCCAGAGAACAAGCGAGCACAGATCCTGCTGGAGAGCGCAAAAAAGAACCTCAAAGACATGGCCTTCTTTGGCCTAACAGAGTTCCAGAGAAAGACTCAGTACCTGTTTGAGAGAACTTTTAATCTGAAATTCATCCGGCCCTTTATGCAGTACAACAGTACCAGGGCAGGAGGGGTGGAGGTGGATAATGACACCATCCGGAGGATTGAGGAGCTCAATGACTTGGACATGCAGCTCTATGACTATGCAAAGGACCTCTTCCAACAGCGCTACCAGTACAAACGGCAGCTAGAGAGGATGGAGCAGAGGATAAAGAATCGGGAAGAGAGGCTTCTTCACCGGTCCAATGAAGCACTTCCCAAGGAAGAGACCGAAGAGCAAGGACGCTTGCCCACTGAGGACTACATGAGCCATATTATAGAGAAGTGGTAGCTTAGGCAGACTTTTATATTAATGGTATTCTAGGGTTTCCATATAAAAGATCATGGAAGTAAAATTACAAAACCAACAAAAAATATTTTATTTAAAAGCAAGTCTGTAAAACAGAAGATAGATTGCTTCCTTAAGCATGGGGTCTTTTTACTGTTTCTTACAAGACCGATGAGATTCTTAAAAAAAAACAAAACATAAAAATAAAAAAAAAGGTCAACATTATAATGCAGAGGTAAAAAATGCACAAATGCAGTTACCCACTCTTAAGGTCAAATACAAAAGAATGTTTCTTATCCTCACAATTCAAACCCAAATGACAGAAGTAGAATTTTTAAAATCTGTTTATCCCTGAGCGTAATAATATAAAGATACATAATTAAAAACCAAGGAAACGGAGGTTTTCTTTTGTGGGTGTTTTTGGAGGTGGGATGGGAATTGCATTCCTTGTAAGTAAATGATAACGGTGACTAAGTTGAGGATGTGCCATCCTGTCAGGCGGTGATCTGAGCGCAGGGGCGGTCACTTCATTTCAGCTGGCAGCCACTGCCAGGAAGTAGAGCACCATAAAAATAAAAATAAAAGAAGAAGAAAAGTATCAGAGGAAGAGAAACTTTAAAGCAAATTGACTATGGCCTAGGATATGTACTTAGCACAGTGGTTTTGATACACTGCACTGGTATCACATATACGTATACAACTTCATTGCAAAAATAGTAGGGAATTCATGCACAGAGCTTCCCAATTTGTTTCACAGGCAGGTCCCAAAACAAGTTAAAAGCCACTTAGGCTTAAACATGCACTCACATGCCATCCTGTCACCCTACACAACTGCTGCTCATGCCATCATCAGTATTATGTATTAACAGCCCATGAAAATCCTGTCCCACACACTAAAAAAAGGAAGAAGAATTTAAATAGCAATACGCCCTCGTAAATCTGTACAAGTTCCAGGGAAGACCTTGCAAATAACAGTCATTAATGGGAATATGATGAGGGAGTGATTTTGTTTTGTTTGTTGCTATGTGAAATGCTGAACTAGAACAAGCATGCAGACATATCCATGTCTGTATTTTTCAGTTATTTTTTAGTTGCTTTTAGCAAGAGATAATGGGCATCAGCCTCCTTTCAGTGAAGTCACTAGAACTGATTTAAGTGGAACAGGATGGGGCTCTCTTCCAGAGCTGTGAAAATTTCTGACTAGGGGTCTGAATTAATTATGAGACAGTGCACATTGTCTTTTGGCAGAGTGCCTGTTCTGCAGCTCTTACTTTAAAAGAACAAGCTGTGTTCATAAAACTGGAAAGGGGAATCATGGATAATGTTTTTTTAGTCTCAGACCACTTTCAAAGCAGAACTCTTTCAATGCTGTTTTTTAGGGGCTCATGTTAAGTTTAATCCTCCAGTGTGGTGACAGTCTAACCAGGTTCTGCTTACTGACTTTTGAGTCATAGAACAACAATGACTTCTCTAATTCCTCTTCCCAGTCACCAAATTAAAGTATGGCTTATTTTCTTGCTGTTGCAAGCACTTCTTTGTTTGGCTGGAAGCATGGAAATGAAGCAGTTTCTGCCTGTTTCGTGTCTCACCCCGTTATTGCTCAGCCTGTAAGACCTGAACCAGCTGTTGTTTAGGGTAAACGATGAACCAAATGGAATATGATTTGATTTTCAAAGGCCATGTTAACTGCAGATCAAATATGGCATTGAAATCACTGGAGGAGAGGCAGAGAGCTGATGCATTCAACTTTAGCATGTCATTTTTAGTGTCCCTTTCCCATCACACTGAAGTGCTGCTTGGTTTGTATTTTAATTCTCTCTCTGTTGCTGTACACTGTTTCCAACAGTTTCAGATTCAGACTGAGTTTTGCAAAGGAGGGGCTGCCTTGTTTCTTCTGTGTACACCCTTGGGGATACACCTTGCTTTGGAGATGTTCTTCTCCAGAAGAGTAAAGATGACTTAAAAACTTAAGAACAGAAAATACAAACAGCACTTTGGGCTCAAACACAACCTTGTTACAGCCCTGATCCAAAGTGCACTGAAGTCAAAGGATGTCTTTCCTATTGATTTCAGAGGGATTTTGATCGGGTCTGCATCCTCATGCTGCAAAGTGCATAAGCATACTCTTGTCCTTCTACAAGCACAGCGGGACGTTGTTACCCGTGCATTCAGCTGGTATCAATATTTGCACTGTCTTTAAGGTTCTGTCAGTGGTTCTGCCACAAAATGGCCCCTGTTCCCAGAGATGTGTAGCCTGCCAATAAGCATTTCCTCCTAGCTAAAAAGTGGGAAGCAAAATGAAACAATTTTCAGTTGTTAGCTTGGGGGCAGAAGGTATTACAAATCCATTTGCTCATCTTGGAATTCCAAGACCGGGAGGAGCTATGTCTGCTAGTTCCCAGCACTTTTATGTGTTGCTGTAACTAAAGAAAACATTTCTGTTTTAAAAATGCAGTTTTACAGGCTGTTTACCCACAAAACCAATACACAAGATATAAAAAGCAACTGTTTTATATGCAGAGTTTCCAGCTTTACCCAAAGGCTTTTCACTGTGCATCCTGCGTTATGGATCCATAATGCACGAATGGTTACTGCAGCTAATCCATATTTGAGGTGCACGTTGGCTCAGCTCCGGCAGGGCTGTGCGGTGAATGCCCAGGCAGGTCTGCATGTGCCAGCACTGACTTCCGAGAGCCATTCTCTACCGAAGGCCAAATTCTGCTCTCATCTACCAAAGGGTGACAGTAAATAGGACCGTGTATGATTAGGACTGGTGACATCGTTTGGCCCGATTTGCTTGAGTTGTTCTGTGTTGAGCTCTGAGTAACCAGCTGGATTTTAATGGATCTGTCTGCAGGGTTCTCTAAATCAGGGGAAACCTCTGACCCTAGAAGCATGTCAATAGAAGACCTTGTTCCAACATTTTCTTTGTAATATATTACAGTAACAAGCAAAAGAAATTAAACTGTCTTGAAAACTGCCTTGTTAACAGTTTCACTTCAACCCACAAAAGGAGGGCTGACCTCAGAAATTTCTAGATTCAAATCCTGCACCCAGCAAATGCCTCAGTTTCTCCATCTGTACATTGGGAATAACAAATTTACGCACTGTAAAGAGGTACTCCAAGGTATGAGAAGCGTAGGGCACTTTGAAATGGATTCTAAGTATTGGAAATGAAGAGAATGACCTAAAAGCCATTGCTTACCCTGGCTGCTGCACTGATCTGTTCATGGCTATAAGCCATGCTTTAATTTATTGTAAGTGCTGTGTGCTAGAGCCTGGGTTGCAGGACATACCTGGCACTATCTTCTTCCTTCAGTGGGTTTAAGGGAACTTTTTTAACATAATGTGAATGTAGGTTTTTTTGTGATTTCTATGTACTACAGTTTGAAGTGGTACAATTTATTTTTAGGACTGATTATTTGATGCTACAATAACATGAAAAATGTATGTGTAGTTTTAAAATGAATGGAGAACAACGGCTTTAAGGCACTCCGACAGCAGTAGTGGCCAGATAGTACATTCTTGTTCAGTATCTGCCCCTTTCTTCCAAAATGTTTTTCCTGTGACTTCCAGAAACACTGAGACTTTTTTCACTACATGAAGTGTTCCTTCATGGAGTCTGTCAGTGCATCATGATCCAGATCAGGACAGGTGAGTGCTGGGGACAGCAAGGGCAGGTGCAAGCTTGTGACCTGTCTCTTACTGGAGCTGGTGAGATGGTTCCCCGTGAATTCAGATTTTACCTAGTCAGATGCTCGTCCATCCCACAGTGTTTCTGCCACGGTTCCAGGGACACCCTGTGAAAAGCCTTTACAAAAGCTGGGCCTGTGTAAGGTGTTTCTAAGGGTTTATACAGTCAGCAGTATTAGTGTGAGAGAGCATTTTAGACGGGCAGTTACCTGGTACCGGGGCAAAGATGATGGCTCTTAGCCTCTGCCACCTTACACTGTGCTGAGCTTTGCACACTGCAAACGAGGGTGATGCTCCAAGTGGGGTTTTCCCAGCAGAATCCATTCCTGCTTTGGGAGGCTGGAAAGGCCAAGACACACTGCAATGCTAGGGAGGAAGAGGAGGAGTTCTTTTTTGCTTTTAGTGACCTGAACAGTGTTAACTTCACTGCTTGGTAGATCGTGTTGCTGAAGATAACTTTTTATTGCTCATTTTTCTCATCCCAGCTAGCTCTCTTGAAGGAGTTTGCCTCCTACTCCAGAGTTTCCAAGACAGTCAGATGCCACGTGGTACCCTGTCCAGGTCACAAAATGCAGGATTGACTGGTAAGGTTGCAGACCCAGGCTGTCACAGGGTTCACAGTCATCAGACAAAAACTCTCAACAAAGGATCAGTATGAATTTCTGGCTTGCCTGAATTTCTCCCTCCATGCCCAACATTTTGGAATAAATGGGGAGCATTTCAAGTTGATGTTTTTGCACCCCATAGTCCCTTACTTGCTTACAAAACTGGGATGGCAATGGAAGCAGCATAAGGAAGGTGCCAGCAAGCTTTTGAATCTTCTCTCCCAGGGCTGTCCTGTAGGAGCAGAAAAGGCAGTGCAGTTGCTGGGAGTATGGGCAAGACAGAAGGACCACCACAGTGGCAGTACGGTTACATGTCAATTAGGAAGTTTTCACTCTGAGCCCATCAAATCACTTCCCAGAGACCACTGAACAAATACAGAAGGTAATGAGTGACATTACAGAACAGGGCCTGACCTAGGTGTATATCCTGGCATTAAAAGCTTCTCCAGCTTCTTACTGACGTACAGAGTTACTGAGACCCTCTCCTGTCCCATAGAGTTTCCCAAATGTTACAAAAATGGGTAGCACTACAGAAATTTGCAACACAAACTATGCTAAATGTTGTATTTCCAGGGCTATAGCTTGAAATGCAACTCACGCTCTCTGCTGGCTTCAAATCTCAGGGCTGGCTGCGTTATCTTTTTGTTCTTGTTTTCACTAATATTAGCAGATCACGTTCCAGTGGCAGAAGGGAATGCAGGATTAGCTGCCTGATCAGCAGCAGAGCCAAGCCTTTAAAGCACAGGTCAGTTAGCAGTAGTACAGGTAAAACAGCAA